ATTTACAATGTAGACATCACTATAATGATTTACAATGCAGACATCGTTACATTGGTCTTTGATTACTTGACACATTTGATTATTGGTGTACGTCAAGGTAGTGCAAGTATACTATGGCAATGACAATTCTTTCAAATCAATCTCTTCGAGTGCAGAGCCGGCCCTTTTATAATTTAAACTTGTTTCATTATGTAATTGCTTTAACTTAGTTAACTTAGTTTATCCTGAACGCAGGCATATCTGCTCCTATATTCAGATCAAAATAACAATGTGACGTCGCCCAATGGTGTTATGAATCTCCTTTCATCCCAAAATTTATCAATGCGGTTTTCCAAAAGTATTTAAATTTGAATATCTATTATTATCTTTTATTATTTATTAATAATTATTATCGTTTACTTATTTAGATGGCAACCAAGCATACTCTTCCGGCCTTGACCTTGCACAGAACTCCAGGAAACGTAAGAGACGCACGAGGACCATTTTCTCTCCCCAGGCTTTGTCCATCCTAGAACTAGCCTTCTCCAGCAACTCCTATCCGGATATGTACGAGCGCACTAAGTTGGCGGGAATCATTGGAGAGGAAGAGGCCAGAGTTCAGGTAGGCATGCGCAGTAATTAGATGTTCCCATGGGATATTGTCCAGCATATAAATAAAATACATGAATCTGTATCATCTTTGGCAGGTGGAGATCGAACAAAAGACGCTATTGTGTTGTTTTTTTAAATTATTATATTATGTTATTATTCTCGGCAATCAATTTGCACTTCTGTTAAAATAATCACACAATCCGGTTCAAAAGTTGGGTCACAATGTCGTTAGTGTACTTATCGTTAGAGATCATGTAGAATTCTGTATGATGTATTACATGTGTATATATAATAATTGTCCATAGGGCCTGTATCGGGCATCTAATTAATTGTCTGAACAAAGATAGACGTGACAATAAGACATGATGGAGCAAGTCAGTTACAATAACGAACTCTTGATATTGACGATCAGGTTGACATTATAGCAATTTTGGTTTAAATCGAACACCTTTAGTATTCGATAATGCCGCAGACAATTAAAGGTAATCTTTGATTTTGAATTAAGCCCAGCAATTGGCAAGGATCATTACAAGTAACTGATAGAACTTGGAATCTGACATGCCCCAGCCACTAATTCAGTCAAGTACGTGTACCAATCTCCACCTCACAAACAAAAATATTTATAATGTTTTTTCAGACATCCAATCAAAGCAATTTAATACAATTATAAAAGAGATTAGGGGAGGTTATATCAAAGTATCTAAATAATTGTGTTCGTGAGGTGGAGATTGGTACACGTGACTGTTAGGTATATAACGTCCAACACTTTTTTAGTCGACATTAAAACATGTAATATAGAAGTTTCGTCTTTTTCGTAAATTAGATTAGATCGACGTCATATCGCTGAAATAACTAATGAACGACCGTTTTGACTCAAAGTTACGTAATTCTTGTCAATGTAATGTCCATCTCATCATTATTTCATCGTCGGCGGAATTTATAAGTCGAGTTGTCATACATTCAACATGTGATATTCCCTTATGTACATAAAACAGGAATTAAATGCTGATAACTCTTTATATACAGATCAATGTGTGAAAAGGGGGAAATCCTAAAAGATTTATGCCGATCATATCCGATCATGGCTTATATGCCTATAGTACATAGTTCTTACACGGGCTTCCGTTCCATATAAGATTTATTAAACGAGTCTGAGAATTGCAAGATGGAACGAGAAACTGCGTGATGATTTTAAAAATCACGTAGACACTTTATATACTGTATCGATAACGGCTAAACATCAATTCACGAGGTAATGTCATTTTACCGATTCCCCAATGATAGATTAACCCGAAATTGATGATGTCGTATATCGGAATGTTTGGCGCAGCATTCCTACATGTAATTTACCTTGGTTGGCGTGTCTGTGTGTGTGGTGTGGCTTGGCGATGGAATTACAGCATAATGTCATGTTTTGAGCAAAACACTTTCGTTTTTAACTATAAAATAAAAAGTGTTTTCTGCCTGATTTAATCATGAGGGACTTATTCGCGGTTTTGTGCAAAGTGCTCACAGGTATTTTTTCGATATAAAAACCGTGTTACCCTAAAATAAGCATGTTTATTCCATATTAAGGTGACGACTTTTATATCAATAACCAACATAAACGTGCTGTATTACTACACATCTGTCATATCAGAGGACAAATTAGCGATAACATAAATTCCAAATTTTGCGACAAAACTTAAACAAAAGCAAAAAATTTTTCCATGTATAATTTACGACGTAGTTAAAAGTTTTGCCTACCTTTGTGATTACTTTAGTAACCCGTATATATCCGCTATTCATTCTAAATGGCATTGATACATCTGTTGTACAATATGCTCTGAGTTATCATTTGGTCACTCGATTAACCTATGTAGGGCTAAATCAATCGGCTGATAGATTGAGGAGATATTGCTAATTACAGGTAGGGCTAAATCAGACAGGTAATCACAGGTGATACAATTACCATGTCTCCTTAGATAATTACCTCACTCGGTGTATAGCTAGTAAAAACAATGGCGACACAGGTAAAAGACGAGTGTTAATTAATACCTGTCTAACGTGTACACGGCGAAGTGTTGAGTGAAGAGTTCTCGAGGACAAATAGAGTTGAGTATAACTAAATTACACCTGTCTGTGTTAAAAACACCCCGCTGTAGATTATAAATAGGTGTAGAAATCCAACTAGGCTCCATAGAACACCAGCAACGGTAATGCGTATGTCGATAGCAAGATTATCGACAAGGTAAGATACCATTCTAAATACTAATGTCTGGAATTTTAAATGGTCGCACTATACCCCATATAAATTATTACTAGTCAAGAGTTTAAATTATCTTTTATAACATTTTTATCTCATGTTAATGTCGCCAAAAATAGTTACACCATTAACAGGTGATTGTATAAGGAACGGATATTTTGGCACGACTTTCACTTATTTTCGTCATTAATTCCCAAGATGTACAGTGTTCGTTATTCGTCCTTTCTTCCTCAGATAACATCGGTGTTTGTCCATTAAATGTCCTTCATCTTCTAAAAACATCTATGAAGTATAAGGTTTGTGACGCAATAGGGGAGTTAAATGAAGGACGGAGATTATGGCACGACCTTTCACGCAAAGCCGTATCATCATGTCCGTCCATTATACGCACCCTTCCCCATATCAAATGGACATGTCGTATGAGGTCTAAATGAAAACAAGACAAAATAGTTGGTTGTATGCAGGACGGAAATTATGGTACGACATTATGTAAAAAGTCGTATCATCATGTCTGTCCATTGTACGTCCTTATTTTCTCGTATAGATAGTTATTTTGACACTCGTCGTCCCTTCTGTAAATGAATACAGATGGTTGTATGAAGGACGGAGATTATGGCATGACCTTTGACACCAAGTCGTATCATCATGTCTGTCCATCATACGTCCGTCAGATAGTCCTCTTCCTCGGATTGAAAAGTTAATTAAATAAGGTGGTTGTGTGAGGACGGAACTTATGGCACGACCTTTCATGTATAGTCGTGTCATCATGTCTGTCCTCTTTACGTCCTTAAATCCCCGTTGAGAAAGTCACTTCGTCCGTTACTCGTCGTTCCTTCCTTGAATAATATTTTTACGACACCATAGTTGGATGTGTGAAGGACGGAACTTATGGCACGACATCACGTAAAAAGTCGTATCATCATGTCCGTCCATTATACGTCCTTAATTCCTCGTATAAATAGTTATTTTGTCCATTACTGGTATTTCCTTCCCCAATTAAATATTTCTGACAACAGTTACGGATTTATGAAGGACGGAGATTATGGCACGACATTTGACACAAAGTCGGTTCATTATGTCTGTACATTTTACGTCCGTCAGTCCTCAGATCAAATAGCTGCCTGTTAGTT